TTGGCCATGTAGGAGTCCAGTGCCTTAACCACCATGCCACCAGCTGGCCCCATATGTTCTTACTCTTCATCACATATTTCTTAAGAAAATAACTTCTTGTTGTGCTACCTTATAGTAAAACTTTCCCTGAAAACCTTGGAATTTGTTATAAAGGAACGTGGCCCTGGCTGCTTTGAACTCATGATCCTTCTTCCTTAGTCCAAGAATAGCTAGTACTATAGGCATCTGCCAGCGAGCCCAGCAAGGGAATTGCCTTATTTTTTTTTAAAGATTTTTTTTTTTCCAGAGGTTGAAGGGGAGAGACAGTGAGGAATCATTCACCCAGTGGGATGGCCATGCTGCAATCCCTTCTCCTTCATTCTTCTCCTAGGATTTTGGACACACACAAACACACACGCCTGGCATGACTTTCAAGCTGCCCGGTGAAATACTCAAACTGCTTTAACCATCACAGCACCTGCTGGCCCTGCCCTTTTTTTTTTTTTTTTTCAATTGTCAAGAGTGCTTGTGAGAGAGTCCCCTCTCCCCATGGGACATGGTCATGTCACAATTGCTCCTCCAATTCTCCATCCTATCAAAGCCAGGATTCACACTGTGTGATCTCCCTTAAGCCCTGGGCTGTGGGGCTTGCCCAAGAGTTTTTCTTTTTAATGTCACAAACTAAACTAACACCATATACCTATATGGGTTAATTAGGGTAAATAGATTGGCAAAGTTCATAGCCCACAGATCAGAACAGTCTTTTAAAAGTTGAGGTCCTTATATTTGCTCATTTAGTCAACTCCATTGAAAAGACATTCAGTAGCAGCACAGAGATGTGCCCCACAATGATATTTTGGTCTGTGATGGACTGCGTATACAACCGTATCCCATGACATCCAAATGAAACCAAAACATTCCTTTTGTCCAGTGAAGTCACTGTGTGTGTGATGCTGTTGTACACAAACTTACTGAGCTGTATGTCGTGGAAAAGTATACGTTATTCCAGAGTCAGCTTGGTGGCACAAGTAACACTCTGCTCAACCAGAGTATCTGTATTGAAGATCCATTATGGTTCGGTTCCCCAGTCAACCTGTACAGGCCAGGCATGCACATCCATGATCCTGGCCAGCTGAGGGGACAGGAGAGATAAAGGCATGGGACCCTGTCCAGGATGCTTCTCTCTCTCGCTTTCTCTTCCCCTTCTTCCCTCTCACTCTTTCTCTCTTCCCTTGCCTTCTGAAAACAATAAATAAAAAGATATACTAAAAGAAAGTATTGTTATCATAGGAGATGACAGCTCCATGCACATTCAGGATTTGAACCACATAATTGACCATGTGAGATCCAACCACCTTAACCTTTATGCCATCAGCATATGTTCATTCTCTATCTTGTGTGGTTCTCTTTGTTTTTGAGAAAAATATTAGGTCATTAGGAAAATCATGACATGTTTTTCTATGCAAAAATGTGTCATGACTTTCCTAATGACCCAATAGAACAAACAACAACAGCTAAAGGAAACTTACATTAAAAAGAAAAGTTTTAAGGTTTCTTAAAGCATTGTTTTCCTGCCTTATTTTTTAACAGTACCAAATGCTAGCTGCATAAATTATTATGGTACAAAGAATTTAGGGAAAACAACTGTAAATGAAGTAAATCTCAGGAGCCCCTTATAGGTAAGTTTCTACTTTCAGGAGAATTCTTTTCTATGGATACCAAAATTATAGAATATTGTTTAAATGACATGAGAAAAATGACATCACTAAAAGGAGTCTTACATAAAAATGTTTTGACTGAAGACAAATATGTTATTTAAAACAATAATCTATGAAGGAGGACTGTGAACATAAAAGGTATCCAACTGATAGCTGTCACATTCATGGGTAGGTGAAAACCTATTCTAAAAGGCAAATTGTCCATTTATATGACCATTCGAAATTTCTTTCTATCTCTATTATTTTATGTTAAGTTTTGAAAGTTATTTTAAAGTTATTTGAAAAGGAATAAACCAGAACTTAGATGATCTTACCAGGACTAGCCAAAAATTTATCTCGGCCTAGAATTATTGCATTATTTTGTACAGTCCCTTGAAATTTAGGTATGTGATGCAAATGTGCTGTTTGTTTTTATTGATTAGCAGTTTCCTGAGGAAACTTAAAGGGTATCTATTTTACAAACTGCTGGTTTATAATATACATGGTTCAAACTATTAAAATAATAAATAAGTCAAATATAATTTCTGCCGACAGTAGGAAATTCAACAAAAGAAAGTTTCACTATCATTATTAATGCTTAAACAAGCAGTATATCTTTACCAACTTGTAGTTTATAACCACTTTTTCTCTTGAGTGCTATAATATGTAAATTATATTTAAGTAATGGAAATCTATCCTTTTTTAGTCTCAAAAAACAGGTTGTACCAATAAAATTGGCCAAGTATATAAATTTTCATTAATATGCTAAACATTGTATTTTCCTCACAGTCTCCCATCTGGTGTAGGGTTCTTATCAAGGCCTTAATACTCATGTTTCAAATCTCATGGATACCTTCAGAGCTAACACAGTCCAGAGACATATGTATGTAGTTATTTGTTTCATACCCCTGTATCTCCATCACATTCTAATTGTTGAAAGGTTGGTGGAAAAAGGCTACTCTTATTTCTGGTTTTATCAAACACAAATTCAGATTTTCAACACTTCAATTGTGCCTTGTTTTTTTCTCAACTTACTTGGCTGAGTTCCTTCTCATTGCTGTTATAAATTATTCTGAGCATTGACATCAAAGTGCTTGTCCGTCCAGCCTTCCATTTGACTAGGAAAAGCTCCACTCACAGTCCGTGCTCAGGGAAGCAGTGTTAACTTTCTCTTTACACAGATTGGAGGCCCCCAAAGTGACCAGTGATGGCTAGTGAACAACTCCTGTGATTAAATGATACAAAGGACCACTAATTATGTGTGATGGTGCTTAGCCAGGCTTCAGACTTACTTCAGCACTTGGGCAGGACTAGCTGGGGAGAGGTGACAGAGGAAGGTGGGAGGGAAACAGCAGAAATACCATGGAAGAGGGATAATATGGGCCACATGGGAGAAGGAAAGAATGAGCAATTTCTAGCACTACCTGATTTTTGAAACACTTCCAAGTTCATACTATGTATAAACACCTCTTTCCACCTTTTATTATTTATTTCCTTTAATTTTTGCCATAGGGCACATGCACTCACTGTGGAGAAAGAGAGACAGAAGGAAAGTGAGAAGTCATACCATGGGGGGATGTTCATGCTGCAATCTCTTCTTCTCTAGTCTCCTCTTAGAATTTTGGGCACATACACACAAACCCAGTGTGATTTTCAAGCCACCAAGTCCAGGACTTGAATCATGGTTGGCAGTATGGGAGTCCAGTGCCTTAACCACCACGCCACCTGCTCGCCCCTCTCTCTCCAAGTGTCTTCGGTGAATTCCTGTGTGTTAAAACCTAAATATAGGGATCAACATATGGTGTAATGGTTATGTCACTGGACTCCCACATAGTCAACCGTGGTTTGAGTCCTGGACCCAGTGGCTTAAAATTCACACCAGATACTTGTGTGTGTGTGGCCAAAATCCCAAGAGGAGAATGGAAAAGGGATTGTGGCATGGCCATCACCTCAGAGGGTAATTTCTCACTTTCTGTCTCTCTCTGCCTCTGGCAAGCACACACACCCTATAGCAAAAATCTCTCCAAATAAATAAATAAATAACCTAAATATGACTCACAAGGTTAGTTTCTTCTGTGAAAAAAATCCAAACTAAAAAAGAATTAGATTCTAACCTTGGGCAAGTTACCCTTTGAATGTTCTAGCTGTAAATATACCATTTATATCTTTATATAAATGTGTGATGGTGCTTAGCCAGGCTTCAGACTTACTTCAGCACTTGGGCAGGACTAGCTGGGGAGAGGTGACAGAGGAAGGTGGGAGGGAAACAGCAGAAATACCATGGAAGAGGGATAATATGGGCCACATGGGAGAAGGAAAGAATGAGCAATTTCTAGCACTACCTGATTTTTGAAACACTTCCAAGTTCATACTATGTATAAACACCTCTTTCCACCTTTTATTATTTATTTCCTTTAATTTTTGCCATAGGGCACATGCACTCACTGTGGAGAAAGAGAGACAGAAGGAAAGTGAGAAGTCATACCATGGGGGGATGTTCATGCTGCAATCTCTTCTTCTCTAGTCTCCTCTTAGAATTTTGGGCACATACACACAAACCCAGTGTGATTTTCAAGCCACCAAGTCCAGGACTTGAATCATGGTTGGCAGTATGGGAGTCCAGTGCCTTAACCACCACGCCACCTGCTCGCCCCTCTCTCTCCAAGTGTCTTCGGTGAATTCCTGTGTGTTAAAACCTAAATATAGGGATCAACATATGGTGTAATGGTTATGTCACTGGACTCCCACATAGTCAACCGTGGTTTGAGTCCTGGACCCAGTGGCTTAAAATTCACACCAGATACTTGTGTGTGTGTGGCCAAAATCCCAAGAGGAGAATGGAAAAGGGATTGTGGCATGTCCATCCCCTCAGAGGGTAATTTCTCACTTTCTGTCTCTCTCTGCCTCTGGCAAGCACACACACCCTATAGCAAAAATCTCTCCAAATAAATAAATAAATAACCTAAATATGACTCACAAGGTTAGTTTCTTCTGTGAAAAAAATCCAAACTAAAAAAGAATTAGATTCTAACCTTGGGCAAGTTACCCTTTGAATGTTCTAGCTGTAAATATACCATTTATATCTTTATATAAATATATATATGTGTATATATGTGTGTGTGTGTGTACTGACTACACTCGAATCCTGGCCCTGTGGCTTGAAAAACACATGGAGAAATGGAGAATGATTGTGGCATGACCCTACTGCATTGGAAAGTGCTTTTTCTCTCTCCTTTTGTATATGCTGAATAGGAAATTATTAGCTCTAATTATCTTTTTCCCCCCCTCTTATTCTTAATTTAAAAATCTGTTGACTTTTTGTAGATGCTGAGGACATGTTCACTTCCAGATCTCTCGAAGCTGTTCAGAACCCTGATGGATGTTCCCACCGTAGGAGATGTTCGTCAAGACAATCTTGAAATAGATGAAATTGAAGATGAGCATATTAAAGAAGGACCTTCTGATTCTGAAGACATGTGAGCACAATGCCATTAATGTATACTAGTATTAATATAACTGCTGAATTTTTATTTGAAGAATTTCTGGAGAGAATAACTTACTTTGTTTTTAAAAATTATAACTGACTTTTTACTACTACTTTAACTTTTTACAACCATAATTATGCATATTCTAATAATGTATATCTGCCTTTAAATAATACAGCACTTAATCTCACTTAAGGAATGTAAGAAAAGGGTTTCTATTTGAGTTCACTGTTTTACCAGCGAGCATTTAGCACATTGTCTTGCATGTGATAGATGCTTAATAAATATTGGCCAGAAAACAGATGTTAGCAGGATAATGACTGTTTAATAGTGGAGCCCCATATGATACAGGGATTGCAAGGAGAAATTGTGAAATAATTAATACTCTACAATTCTCTAGAAAAATGACCAGGAAGCTCCACATCTGTCTCTTACCATGTATGATTTCAAAGTTATGGAGAGTTAGCAGGTAGACTCGTCCTGTGTGTGCGTGTGTGTGTGTGTGTGTGTGTGTGTGTGTGTGTGTGTGTTTGCCTTCTACATGTAATTTGATTCATTTCACAAAATTCTTTTCATTATGATTTATGGGGAATTTAGAACCCAAGAGAGAAATTTATAACCAACTACCGAGAGCCACGGGGAATGAGGCCCTTAGATGATACTCCTTCTTTACTTTCTTCAGTATTCGTCAGCCCTTTCAGTCCTTCAGACAAATGTTACAAACATTTGGAAATAAAACTAGAGTACTCTGGAATTAAGTATGCTACAGGTACACTATTTTTAAATCACCCTGAAAATAAGCTATAAAATACTAGAATCTGAATGATTTACTTTGTAAACTTTGTTTTTGCCTTGTACCTCTTCTTTTAAAAAAAATATTTATTTAATTGTATTTTTTTTCTACTTTGACCAGAGAAAGAGAGGAGGAAAAAGCAAGCCAATGAACCACAGCTGGCCATGTGGGAGTCCAGCACCTTAACCATCCTGCCACCTGCTGGCCCTCCTCTCCTTTTTAATAGAAAGTTGTTTGTTTGTTTGTTTGTTTTTAAGGCTTTAGCCATGGGGCATATGCACCCACTGAAGAGAGTCAGAGACAGAGAGAAGGAAAATGAGAAATCCCCCCATAATAAGGTATAACCATGCTGCAATCCCTTGCCTTCTATTCTCCTCTTGGCATTTTGGACACACACACACACACGTGCCAGGTGTAATTTTTAAGCTGCTAGATCTGGAACTTGATCCACAGTTAGCCATGTGGGAATCTAGCACCCTAACTACCATGCAACCTGCTGTCCCCAAAAGCACTTGCATTTTAATCTTATTAAAAGCATTATATCATTCTCATAGTTCTTCCTTAAAGAATATAATAGCAGGGGCCAGCAGGTGGCATGGTGGTTGAAGTGTTGGACTCCCACATGGTCCACCATGGTTTGAATCCCAGACCTGATGGCTTTCTCTCATGCTCGCTTTCTCTCTCTCTCTCTCTCTCTCTCTCTCTCTCTCTCTCTCCTTTCTCTGGTGAATACGCATGCCTATAGCAAATCAAGTAATCATGATGATGAAGGTGAATAAAATTAAATAAGTAATTCTTTTGGAAAAATTAAAAAGAATCTAAGAGCAAGGACCACTGTATCGGATACACTTCTTTTCTTATTTTTATTTTTCTTAAGCTTTGTCCTTTCTTAAATTCTTAGTGAAATTATATTTTTTAAAGATTGTCCTTTTTTTTCATTTTTCATACAGTTCAGTAGTGATCTCAATTGGGAGGAAAAGTTGTCTTTTTAATCTTTGTTTTGTCCACTTGACAGTGGTCATTAAGCACTTTAATTTTATGATTTTATTAACCCTACTGGAGAACACAACATTTAGTACTTTTATGATTGAAAAAAGAGCTAGTTAACATTTTTCCCAAAAAATTTTTATATAATCATTAATTTCTATGGGCTAGCCCCATGGCCTAGTGGTTAAGGAAGCAAAATCTTACATGGCTAACTACACAGTTTGAATCCCAGTCCCAGCAGCTTAAAAATAATGTCAGGTGTGTGTGCACACCCAAAAGGCCAAAGAGATGGAGAAATGGAGAAGGGATTGCAATGCGACCACACCCCACCCCATTAGGTGGTGCTTTCTCTTTTTCCCTATCTCACTCTGTCTCTCAGTCTCTCTGGTGAGCACACATGCCCTCCAGCCAGCAAAAATAAAAATAAAACCATCGGGACCAGCGGTTAGCGTAATGGCTATGTCACTGGACTCCCACCTAGTCGACCGTGGTTCGAGCCCTGGACCTGGTGGCTTAAACTCACGCTGGGTGCGTGTGCGTGCGTACCCAAGATCCCGAGAGGAGAATGGAGGAGAAGGGATTTCAGCATGGCCATCCCCACTGGGGGGTGATTTCTCGCCTTCTATCTCTCTGTCTGTCTGGCGAGCGCATGTGCCCTATAGCAAAAACCTCTTCCAAAAAATAAATAAATAAATAAATAAAACTCCCATTGGAAAAAATAAATAAATAAATAAAACGATCAATTTTTGTCTTTATGAACTATAGCTTTTTTATGGCTTGTATTTTTTTAGAGAATTGTTTATTTAATCTTATTTATTATTTATTTAGTTTTAATTTTTGCTTAGGGCACATGCATTCACCAGAGAGACAGACAGAGAGAGAGAAAGTGAGAAAGCAAGCCATCAAGTTCAAGACTTTTAAGTTAGAAACCTTTAGTATTAAGTTGAAAATTTAGAAAGTTAAGTCATTTTTCTGAACCAAGTTATTTCATATCCATATAGGAAATTTTCACATGATTTTTGTCTTTGGAAATATTTTTTGGTCCAAATTTCAGTCAAGATTTCATAATAAGAAAGCCAACTAAAAAGTGAATTCAAAACCAGATTTAAAGTACCTTCTTTAGTATTTAGAGTGCTCATAAACAATCTTAATCTTTTCATACTCTTCTTACAGTGGCAAGGGTAGCAGCTTCACTTATTTGAATATCATTGTGGAAGGCACTAATTCCTTTTTTTTTTTTTTTTTGGAGAGGTTTTTTTGTTTGTTTGTTTTGTTTTTGCTATAGGGGCACATGCGCTTGCCAGACAGACAGAAAGAGACAGAGAGACAGAAAGCGAGAAATCATTCCCCATGGGGGATGGCCACGCCGCAGTCCCTTCTCCTCCAATCTCCTCTTGGGCACGCACGCACACGCGCCCGGCGTGAGTTTTAAGCCACCGGGTCCGGGACGCGAACCACGGTTGACTACATGGGAGTACAACGACATAGCCATTATGCTAACTGCTCGTCCCAAAGGCACTAATTCCTTTAGGCTAGCCATTAGGTGATTTTTGTCTGCAGGTCAATGTTTAGTCACTCTAGTGATGGCATACAGTAGGTGATAAATTAGCATTAAATTAAATTTAAACTTAAATGCTCCTAGTGGGATGATCCAAAAAACTAGTCAGTCTTTCTCATTCTAATAAGATGCTTTGGTTTTCTATAGCTGCTACAACTTCAAATTGTAGGAGTTTGTGCATGTAAGTGCAAAAGTAAAGATACTTTTACATAAAAAGTGTGTTGTCTTTGTTAATGGAAATTTTATTCGGGGTCTTGCATAATGTTGTTTATATTTTTGTTCTGTAAACACTTGTTTAGCTTGCCTTTACTTAGCAAGCCCTTAGTCAGCTCTTGTGTCCTGTTTAGCATTACCTTTCTGGCAGATGAGATCCTCAATTTGAGTACGTAATCGCTTTCAGAAGTCCATAATCTCTTTCAGAAGTCTTCATACATCTAAAACCTCGGTTAACTCTAATGCTTTTCTATTTTCTATTTGCATGCTACTTTAAGAGAAAGAAGCAAATCATAAAAGCAAAAGGCATTTCAGTTCTCGCTTTGCCTTTTATTGACTATGGGGCCTTGAGCAGAGCACTGAGACACTTTAGTTCATTTTCCATGCAGGACTCATTTGTGTGATAAAACATAAATGATAGGATAAAACTGCTTAATACAAAGGATCTTCAAAAAGTTTATAGAAAATGCATAGTATTAAAAAAGTTGAGTATGGATTTTAATTTTTTTTGCACCAAAGAAGACTCATACTTTAATTCAATTTTTCTGTGAATTTTCTGAAATCTCATAAATTAAGTGCTATATAAAGTAAGGTATTATTTATAAAAAGCAGCTCATTTTAGCATATATAATCTCATGAAAATAGAATTATTGTTCTGACCAGTACCTTGGAAACAAGAGTCTCTAGTGAAGATTTTGAGTATATTCTAATTACACACTAAGGTCTAATTATGTATTTTAGAAATTATGTATTTTAAGAATAACCATCTAAGGGGACCAGCAGTTAGCGTAATGGCTATGTCGCTGGACTCCCATGTAGTCGACTACGGTTTGCGTCCCAGACTCGGTGGCTTAAAACTCACACCGGGCGCATGTGCATCATGCCCAAGATCCCAAGAGGAGAACGGAGGAGAAGGGATTGCGGCGTGGCCATCCCCCATGGGGGGTGATTTCTGCCTCTTTGTCTCTCTCTGTCTGTCTGGCAAGCGCATGCGCCCTATAGCAAAAACCTCTCCCCAAAAAAAGAATAAGCATCTATCAGGGAGCAGCAGGTAGCATGGTGATTAAGGGCACTGGACTCCCACATGGCTGACCATGGTTCAAGTCCTGGACCTGGCAGCTTGGTTTCTCACTTTCCCTTTTTCTCTCTCTTTCTCTCTGGTCAGATTAAATAATAATAATAATTCGTAAAATCTAATTAAAAAAATTTTCTGGTCACCATTGTATTCCCTGGATCGCCCTAGTAACCTGAATATATAATTTCCTAGTTATTTATATTTCTAGAAGTTCAAATGTCAATGGCACTTACTTATGTGGAAAGCCTTTCATATAGTGTATAACAATTATATCCACATGAAGATTTTACTGAACCTTCAAAATTATATAAAAGAAAAACATTTGACTATTAAATATTCACTGGAAAGCATGTGAAAAACCTCTTTAGTCTGATCTCTTAAAATATCAGAATATTGCTTCAAATTTTAAGCAATTGAACAAGCCTGGTGACTCAGCAGTAACGTAACACACAATGCTTGACCCATGGGAAGGTCTCATTTGTGTCCTCAGGACCCAGGCTATATATGTAGGCTCAAGATCCTGGCTAGCTAAGACCAGGATTGAATAGCACAAAGACACTATTGAGGGTGCTTGTGTCGCTGTCTCCCTGTCTCTCTCTTGTGGAGGAAATAAATAAACTTAAAAAAAAAATAAACAATGAATAATATTGATAGTTATGTGATTCTTGGGCAGATCAGATCCACTTTTTAAAAAATCATCTTCTAGAGCCAGCAGACAGCATAGTGGTTACGTCGCTGGACTCCCATATAGCCAACTGTAGTTCAAGTCCCAGACCCAGTGGCTTGAAAATCACGCTAAGCACGTGTGCGTCCATATCCAGGATTCTGGGCGGAGAATAGAGAAGGGTCTGTGGCATGGCCATCCCCCGCCCCAGGGGATAATTTCTCTCTTTTTTCCTTCTTTCCCTCTCACTGTCTCTCTGTCTGTATCTTCCTCCCTCCCCCCCTCCCCCAAGCACATGCACTCTAAGGCAAAAACAAACAAACAAAAAACAAACAAAAATAAACTTTAAAAAAAAAATCTTCTGGCTTATATATTCCATGTATAAGTATGTATTTTGTGCTATGTTTATGAATTGTATTTATTCTTATTTCCTATGTGAAAAATGATATAGTTTTTGTTGGGTTGGTTGGTTTTTTGTGTTTTTTTGTTTTTTTTTTTAATTTTCTTCAGACTTATTTTCCCTTCTATTAATATTGGGTCATTGAGAAAGTTAAGAAACATGCTTGCATAGAAAAATATATTATGATTTTTCCAACGATCTAATACTTTTAAGTAGAAGGGTGTACATACATAATTGAGTTGAAGTAAAATTTTAGAATAAGGTAAAGTTTTAGTGATATTTAATTCAGTTTCTTTTTTCTTTATTTCAGTGTATTCGAAGAAACTGACAGAGATTTACAAGAGCTTCAGGCCTCGATGGAGCAGTTACTTAGGGAACAACCTGGTGAAGAATATAGTGAGGAGGAAGAGTTGGGCTTGAAGAACAGTGATGTAGAGCAGACCGCAAATGGGACAGATGTAGCTGATGAAGATGACAATCCCAGCAGTGAAAGTGCCCTAAATGAAGAATGGCATTCAGGTGCATAATCATGCATGGGGTCCTTCTTTTTCAGTGTGTACAACTATTTCAGGAGGAGTATATTTTCCTTTTCTTTTTATTTACAGTTAATCATTGTTCATCTTTATAATCTACAATTTGGTTTTTCAAAGCATGCTTGTCAATCAAGTCAAAGATATTCCCACATATATCATTTTCAGCAGAGAACTTTAGTTTTCTGATATCTGATATGAGCCATTTTCAACTTTAAATAAAACTGGAGCATGCTTCTGTGTCTCTTCATAAATATATACACACTATATACACAGTTGTTCCATTGCTTTCCCACTAAATTATGCCAATGCTTTTTGGAAGCATCTTTATTCTCCATTTTATTCTTTTTAAAAAACATCTTATTGGGTCCTCTGGTGGTACGATGGATAAGGCAGCTGGCCTCGATGGAGCAGTTACTTAGGGAACAACCTGGTGAAGAATATAGTGAGGAGGAAGAGTTGGGCTTGAAGAACAGTGATGTAGAGCAGACCGCAAATGGGACAGATGTAGCTGATGAAGATGACAATCCCAGCAGTGAAAGTGCCCTAAATGAAGAATGGCATTCAGGTGCATAATCATGCATGGGGTCCTTCTTTTTCAGTGTGTACAACTATTTCAGGAGGAGTATATTTTCCTTTTCTTTTTATTTACAGTTAATCATTGTTCATCTTTATAATCTACAATTTGGTTTTTCAAAGCATGCTTGTCAATCAAGTCAAAGATATTCCCACATATATCATTTTCAGCAGAGAACTTTAGTTTTCTGATATCTGATATGAGCCATTTTCAACTTTAAATAAAACTGGAGCATGCTTCTGTGTCTCTTCATAAATATATACACACTATATACACAGTTGTTCCATTGCTTTCCCACTAAATTATGCCAATGCTTTTTGGAAGCATCTTTATTCTCCATTTTATTCTTTTTAAAAAACATCTTATTGGGTCCTCTGGTGGTACGATGGATAAGGCAGCTGGATCTCATATGGCCAGCTGCACGGTTCAAGTCCCCAAGTGGGTGGCTTGAAAAACATGCCATGCATGTGTGCCCAAAATCCCAAGAGGACAGTGGAGGAGAAGAGATTATGGTAGGGCCATGTCCCTTCTCCGCTCCGAGGAAGATACTTTCTCACTCTTTCTTCTTCACTCTTTCTATCTCTGGCACACACATGTGCCCTATAGCAAATTTTTTAAATGGACAAATAATTTTCTTTTTAAGGCATTATAGGGACCCACAGGTGGTAAGTGGATAAAATACTGAACGCCCTCATGACCAGCCATGGCTCGAGTCCTGGACGTGGTAGCTTGCTTTGTCACTTTCTCTCTCTCTCACTCTGGTGAATTGAAAAAAAATAATAATAAATAAAATTAAATAATTATTTAAATTTTAAAAAAGCATTTTATTGGGCCAGCTGGTATTGTGAAGTTGGCTGGATTCCACTTGGTCAACTACATGAAAAGATCCTTCAGTAGTTTATTTTTCCCAAAGTATCTCAAGCAGGTACATGACAAAAGATATTGGGCATGTATAATATTTTTAGGTGCTTTCCTAAAATTTTATGATATGTCTTAGGTCATCCACTCTCTGTATGCTTTTATATGTAATGATCCATATTTATTATCAACTTTTAAATAATAGTAGTTTAGGGTCAATTGCTTAAGTGCAGATCATAGAGTATGTTTTTTCCATTTTTTACTACATTAAATGATATCTCTTCAGATGTTTTTATCCTAATATGACTTACTGTGTATGTCTATAAATTAAAAGAGTCCCAGGTAACAGTCTTAAGACAGATTTACATATACTTAGATTTCATATATATATATATAGGGACAAAACTGTTAATATTGCAAGTAGAAGTAGTCTACCTCAGTAGTCATCGACACTTGTTGCAGAATCTCAGTCTATCAGGGATAAAACTTATTTTATTCAGCGTTTTTTATCATAAAATTTTTTATCACTAAATATTTTCTTTTCATTTACCTCATGTGTTTTAGATAATAGTGATGGTGAGACTACTAGTGAATGTGAATATGATAGTGTATTTAACCACTTAGAGGAACTGAGACTTCACCTGGAGCAGGAAATGGGCTTTGAAAAGTTCTTTGCGGCTTATGAGAAAATAAAGGTAAGTCAAATATGAATCAAAACATTTACTTTTGAAATGTGTTGTGTTTGAAATGATCATTATTGGTCATTAGATTAATTATAAAAAGTAAAGTCTACAACTTGAGAAAGTTAATATTCAAATATAAATTTATATTTGGAAATTTTGTGTAGGCTATTCATGAAGATGAAGATGAAAATATCGAGATTTGTTCAACAATAGTTCAGAGTATTTTGGGAAATGAACATCAGCATCTTTATGCCAAGATCCTGCATTTGGTCATGGCAGATGGAGCCTATCAGGAAGGTAAAATTTCTCACTTGTCTTTATATTTTAATAAATGTGAGAAAAACTAGATGACAGATATGAGTTGATGGGCTTATATCACAGTCAAAGTAATGTGTAACATTTTGAACAAGACTTTATTTCTAAAATATTTGCCAAAAATTAGTCTTCTTACTTTTTTTTTTTTTTTTTTTTTTTTTAGAGAGATTTTGATATAGCAATGTGTGCACTTACCAGAGAGACAGAAAGTGAGAAATCATCCCCAGGAGGGATGACCATGCCACATTCTCTTCTCTGTTCTCCTCTTGGGATCTTGGGCATGCACGCACACAGGCCCTGTGTGAGTTTTAAGCTACCAGGTCTGGGACTCAAACCATGGTCGACTACTATGTGAGAGTCAGTAACATAACCATTTCACCATCTGCTGGTCCCAATCTTACTACTTCATTTATTTTTTTTTTAGTGATTTTTTTTTTTTTTTTTTTTTTTTTTTTTTTTTTGGGTTTTTTCTCCCCCCCCCAGAGAGACAGAGACATAGACACAGAAAGCAAGAAATCATCCCCCGGGGAGGATGGCCATGCCACAGTCACTTCTTCTCCATTCTCCTCTTAGGATTTCGGGCACACACACACACACACACACACACACACACACACACACATGCCTGGCATGAGTTTTAAGCCTCCAGGTCTGGGACTCAAACTGCACTTGACTAGATGGGACTCCAGTGATACAACCATTATGCCATCTGCTGGTCCCCCAATCTTATTACTTTAAAGACGTAATTCATAGATTAAAAGTGAGAGTTTCAATGATGGTACTTAATTTTAGCAATATACATTTTTATAAAATTTATTTATATTACATCTTGTTATAAGTAATTTAAGATTGCATTTTAAAATATATACAGTATAAAATTAAGTCTTTTTTTTTTTTTGGAGAGATTTTCACTGTAGGGCGCGTGCGCTCACCAGACAGACAGAGAGAGACATAGAGACAGAAAGCGAGAAATCACCCCCCAGGGGGGATGGTCACGCCGCAATCCCTTCTCCTCCATTCTCCTCTCGGGATCTTGGGCACGCACGCACACGCGCCCGGCGTGAGTTTTAAGCCACCGGGTCCGGGACAGGAACTGCGGTCGACTACGTGGGAGTCCAGCGACATAGCCATTACGCTAACTGCTGGTTCCCTAAAATTAAGTCTTAAAAAGGTGTTTGAGTTAGTCAACGTATTGGGCAATTGAGCACAGACAATATAGTATGAAGCTAGAAATAAAGAAAGAATGCAAAGTTCATGTTCAAAGGTCTCTACATTTTCTGAAAATAGTACACAGATTTGGTACTGATCTTTCTAGCAAAGCAGGGAACCTAATTAACTACATGAGTCACCGTGTTCATGAGACAAAACATCTTTCTCAGAGGACAGCTATTTTTGGTATTGAAACCAAAGGAAATGTTTTCCCATGATTCTTACAAGGAGGGCACTATCATTCAGTGTTCTCAGACTTGATAACATATGGATCCCTTTAAGGGGAAAAGCTTTTTTATTTATTTATTTTTTTTGCCAAGCACAAGGCTTAGTGTCCACAGACCCCAGCACAAAAGTGAAGTCTTAGTCTCTGAAAATGTCTTTCAGTTGTAAATTATTACTATAAAACAGATGTTTCGTTTTTCTGTTTTTATAAATATTAAGGGATTATTTTATTACCAAGATAAAAATATAAAATTTAAACCTTGTGTAGAACTTATGGATTCCTGATCTTATTGAGATCTTAGACTCTATCTTATAAAAATGGTTTTATAACATAATGAAAAATATCCTCACTAATTTTTACAATATTTGGACTTTGTAGGGCTGTTTCTCATAATATGTCATGGTATGAGAGAATGGCCTGTAGCCAGAGAATGATTCCATTTGAGTAAATCTGTGGAGAGTATCAAACCCATTCTATTCATCTTCAGACTGTTCATCCTTCAGGCAGTTCTCCATTAAGTATTGTTTCTATAGAGCTTTTCATAGCAGTCAGTGACAGCGCACTCAGGGTTCAGTTTTGCTTGTCAAGTATCTGGAGAGCTTTTATTTTGCTTTACCCCTTGAGTGGAGAACTAGAACAATCAACTGAGCCACAAGGTAGAATCAACACCCTCTTTTGACAACCGTGCCTTCAAAAGGAAACACGGCTACACAGAAGGCCATTCCTCCTGCGAAGGGCCAAGCAGCAGGCAATGCAAATACACATCCCTCATGAAGCAGGATCAGGTTTTCTCAAGCACACCAGTGAAAAAGATATGAGAACCCCAGAGTTTTATGTCACAGAGTCTGGCAGTAATTCCTTTAGTCTAGAAAAAAATGTGAAGCAATTAAAACCAAATGCCTACCCTGGCAACATTTATTTTTAAATCTGAGTACAGTCCCTAAGACATTATAGTTTACCAGTATGTTCACTAAATAAACTGCTTGTAAAATAAATATTGAATTATCTGAATAATTTAACTTTCTGATTTATAGTGTTAATTATAAGACAGTTAAATATTAGACAGTGACTAGATTTAGAATAACTGTTTTGTAGCTCTATTTCTTTTTTTTATTTTTAATTTTTAAAAATTTTGCCAGAGAATGTGTGAGTTGGATATTGAAAGATAAATGGGAGCAGGCCGGCAGGTGGCGTGGTGGGTAGGGCACTAGACTCCCACATGGCCAATCACCGTTCAAGTCCTGAACCTGGCAGCTTGCTTTCTCACTTTCCCTTTCTCTTTCTTTCTTTCTCTCTCTAAAATAAGTAAATAAATAAAATTAAAGATGAATGGGAGTTTGCCTTCGATCGGTATATGTACTTTTTTTTTAATCTTTTTAAATTTGGTGTAGGGCACATGTACTCACCAGAGAGAGAGAAAGTGGGAAAGTCACCCGCCAGGTCTGGGACTCAAACCATGGTTGACGATGTGGGAGTCCAGTGCCCTAAACCACCACACCACCTGCTGGCCCCAGTATATGTACTTAAACATAGTACCACACATTGCAGGAGGGGAATCATAAGCAATTCAATGTTACTAAAGCATAACTTAGGGGAGCAGTGGGAAAGATGGGGAAGGAATATTAGTAGTAAGGTTAGAAATATTTGGGACCAGCAGTTGGCCTAATGGCTATGTCACTGAACTCCCATGTAGCTGACCACGGTTCAAGTCCCAGACCCAGTGGCTTAAACTTATGTTGGGCACGTGTGCATGCGTGCCCAAGATCCCAAGAGGAAAATGGAGGGGAAGGGATTGCTGCGTGGCCATCCCCCCAGGGGGATAATTTCTCGCTTTCTGTCTCTCTATCTCTCTGGTCTTTCTGGCAAGTTCATGCGCCCTATAGCAAAAACCTTTCCCCCCAAAAAAGAAAGAAATATTTAAAAGACCAGATCATGAAAGATTTTGTAATTCATATTAAGAAGCTTGGATTCTACCCCAAGGTAGTAAAGAGTTAGTGTAGGGTTTTGAGCAGTGCAATAATTTGACATGACCTTGAAATTTAAAAAAATAAAAATAAAAAATTAAGTTTATTTATTTATTTATTTACTTCATGAGGGGTTAGGGGATATGCACAACAGGGTTTTCATGCCACAAGTCACCAGCCTCAGCTAGTCAGAACCATGAGCATCTGCATCCATACCCAGCATGCATATAGAAACTTCAGGACATGAACATGGGACCTTCCCGTGTGGCCTCAGCATCATGGAGCATTAGGTTACCTCTGTGCCACCTCAGCTGACCTCATACTTGGATCTTAATGAAAGATCACTTTTGATGTAATGTATAAGATATTGTTTGCTATGTAAGATTAACTTATTTGCTTAATTCATTTAGGTGTCTTTTTTTAAGTAAAGAAAAATTGGAAATAACCAAAATGTCTATAAATAGAAATGGTTCAGTTCATTATACCATTCCATTATATAAAATACTGTGTAGACACTGAAATTGATATAGAGTATATCCATGATTTATTGCTTTTTAACATTTCATTGTAAAATTTTTGTCATATTGAAGAATTAAATTTTACAGTGATCACCCATATACCTACCACTTAGGTTCTATCATTAAAATTTATAATTTTGTTTTATCATTTATTCATCTTCATTCATTATGTGTCTTAAGTGAAAAAATATGTCTTTAAAATTTGGTGTAATTTTTAAAAGGAAATTTATATATACATAGGAAAGCAATCTGGAAGGATTTATATAAAATTATTAACTTTGGTTGTCTTTTGCTCCTTTTGCTTCCCACTTTTATTTTTTATTGGCTCTTCTAAACATAATGATGAATAATTCTCAGAAAATTCTCCAATTTTTAACTTCATGAGAATATTTGAATCTGGATCATCAGAAAAACAAACTTGAGTGGGAAATACAACAATTATTTATAAGAAATATCAGATTTATGATGGGCATGCTTATTGCATGAGAAAGATGGAGAAATATGCCACTTTTCAGTTAAGATCCTAGTATTTTACTTTATTTTATTCATTGAGTTCTATAGTTCAGTCCTACAGAATATGTGCTTTATTAAATCATCCAACCAAAGCATTAGAGACGTTGACCCAGAACTGGACTTAGATGGTTTCAAAGATTTACCATGCAATAAAATAACTTTGACTTTCAGCAAATGTCTTTAGGTTAAAAGAATTACCCATGTTGTTAAAGACCTGCCCATGGTTTTTCATTTCAGTATTTAAGCATGGCTTTTCTCTCTCTCTCTCTCTCTCTCTCTTTCTCTCTGCTCTCTCTCTCTCTCACCCACCCCCTCTAGTACAAGTTTTAACCCTGCATTTCTGCATTAAGTAACCTTGTCAAGGGCTCTATTTAAATCTTTACATTTTGAAATTTTTAGCCTTAAAATTTATATTCTCCAGTCCTTTTTCAACCAGTTCATCTCCTAAACTAGCTTAGTAGAAATGGGCTGCAAAAAGAAAGAAAGGAAAAAAAAAAATCTTTGAAAGATTTGATGATGAAAGGATAGCAAAATTAGATTTCCTAGTATTAA